TATATATGTGTGTGTGTGTGTGTGTGTGTGTTCTGTTTGTTCACATTTTCAAAGAGCAACATGTGGCTCCAGAGCCGCAGGTTGTAGACCCCTGGCTTATATATACGATACGATATGAACGTTAAGTTTTGGCAAGTTCAAATGGGATTGGGACTGCAAACACTGCAGTACTGTCTTTAACCTGCAGTTTGCACAGGATTAGTAGAATAATGGTCAATTAGTGATTAGTTAAATAGTACAAGGCTAAAAAAGGAAATGGATCATATAGAAATACATTTACCTCCAAGATAAGAGGCAGTGAAACCTCTATGAGCTTCATTTCTGTCGGTGCTGAGCACCACCAGCAGCTTGTTTCCCTTTGAGACGAGAGAAGGAGGCCGCTCCCGGCCACACCAGCATCCCAGCAAGGCGTCTGTCTGGCTGTCCCCGTCATAAACCGCCACAGAGTCATAGTCGCATCTGTCCGACAAGCTGTTTCGGTCCTCCAAGTCCATGATGGGGAAGAAGAGTTTGATGCGATATCCAGCTTCCAGGTTGATGCTCCAGTGGCAGTTGATGTTGTTTGGGTAGATGTTGGGAAAGTGAGGGCTGCTGAAGTTGCCACTTACAGCTGACAGGACCTGCTGGCATTCACCTAATCAAGTACATTTCATTTGTTCATGTGCCTCTAAACACAGAGCCGTGCATATATTTTAAGCATCTCTAGACTGACAGTTTTGTGCTGATCTTTAACCTACGAAATGCACTGCTGACCTTTGAAAATATTTTAAACATTAAACACAGAAAGAAGCATTTAAAATGAAGGTGTGGCATTCATATTGCTGGATATTCATTTTCTTAGTTGGTTTATATAAACAAAGTTTGATGAGAACCATCTGCCTCAAAGTAATAGTGCAAACATTCAGTTGTTTTCAAGTCTGGTTTTGGCTCCACAATTCAAAGACTTTGACATCTGTGTTTGTGTGCACTCTTTCTGTGGAAAAATTGAGCTTTGCATTATGTCCAAAGCTAATGACATGTTATTTATGCCATGCAAGTAAACATATTACTTTCTTTTATGCTTTTGCTTTTAGATGTGGCTTATTGAAGTTATTGTAATAAACTAGATGTTTTCTAGCATCAGCCAAATAACAGATCCAAATTGTTTTGTTGATTAAGCCAAGCCTTTTCTTTCTTTTCTTGTTTTTTTCTTTTTCTTTCTGCTTATGATGTATACTTTCATGGTCTGCCTAGGTCTACTTTTAGTGAACACAAACTATTTCAAATCTGGCAGCAATAGCAACATATGGTATTGATTTTGACATTCTTGCAGTTGCACTAAAAACACAAACAGACAAGGAAAATACATCATATGTTGGAGCAATGAAATCTCACCTGAGTAATAATAAGCCCTGAATCCCCGTCCACCAATATTGAAGTCTGACTTGAAAACCACCAGAAGCTGACTGGAGGTTGTAACTATATTAGGGGGTATGTCTGCCCCACAGTATCG